TTAGAATATACGTATATGTGACGTGGGTTTAAATTATTGGCACTCTCTAGATGAGACTAACAGATTATATTTAGAGCTCGTTTAATTCACTGATTTGAGTTTTTAATTTGAGTTGAGATGTAATTTTGTGTGAAAATTTTTTACTGTAACAAAAAAGTTAAATGTGACTGTTTTTGAGAACTTTTTACTGTAATAAAACTCGAATTCTAAACTCAAATCGGTGAAATGAATGAGACCTTACTTAATTAAATGGCTTTGATCTTTACATGATCTTCCTGAGTTTGAACAAATATAGGCATGGCAGGTACTAAGCTTTAGTAGAATTTTGGCTCTAAATCACATTGTTGAAGTTTTTAAGGATTATTATGCAGTAGGAAATGCTTAAAGTTAAACTACTTGGGTCTAGCCATTTTGTCCCAATAATTGCATTTTATTGTGATAATTAAAAAAAATTAAGAAAAAAGCCAAACATCTAGAACTAGGACATTCCGGAAGGTTGTAGAAGCTTTGTTTCGATTGATTAATTTTTTTTATTGAATAAACAATATCAAAATTTGTCTTGTGTCATTGGCATTCGTGACGGGTATGTGGCTTTGTTGGATTATTGACACCCGAAGTAACAATAAAATATAATTTTTACCTTTTTTTTTATTTAAAGTAGCCAACTTGATTAAATAACCTTTTTATTTTTTATTTTTTGCTCGAACTGGGATTAAAATATAGTGTGTGCAGAATCTATACAAAATATCTCTCTTTTTACAATATAATAATTAGTATTATATTATTGTCTCCTCTTTTCTAAATAAGTGTAGTGCCCGACTGAGTACTGAACTACTGCTTCTGCGTCTCTAAGAGCCAATGGATAACACCCACTTGTTCTGCTGACGTATACGATAAACGAGATACGCGTCCTTCAGTATGCCTGACACGTGTTCCTTTTTTTTTTTGCCAATAAGAAAACCAAATTTTTACAAGAAAGAACCAAATTTTTACTTCTGTAGTTCTTATTTTTGACGTTTTCAACTACCCACATGCATCACTGATATGTGATGTGACTACTAATTGTACTATATATCTATTTAACTTGGAGGATATTCCAGATTGGTTCCATATTGTCGGGTGATTTATTCCGTGCAATCTTTCCTATTTAAGCAGACTATATCATTTGATGAAAAATTACCTAAATACTATGCGTAAATTTGGGATTTAGGGCCCGTTCACTTCGTTAATTCGAGTTTGTAATTTGAGTTGAGATGTGATTTTATGTGAGAATTTTTTACTATAGCAAAAAAGTTAGATGTGACTGTTTCTGAGAACTTTTTACTGTAACAAAACTCGAATTCTAAACTTGAATAAGTGAAGTGAACGAGACCTAGTTTTCATCTTTGTTATTAAAACAGCTTAAAAATGAAAAAAAAATGAGAAATCAAAATCAATATATTTTGTTACTAAAATTGTTATTTTTCATCTTTTTTACTAAAATTGTTACAAAATCAATATTTTGTTTTAGATGATATCCAATTCTCCATTCTATAATTTTGTTGATTTGAGAAATGAGAAATCTAGAGTGCGTTTAAAATTATTTTTGAAAACATTTTCGCACGTCTTTTGAGACACAAAAACGGTCTACAACTTACGTTTGTTTAATAAAAATTTTGAAAACGGAAATGAAAACAAAAAACAATGAGAATGATTTTTATGAAAAAAATGATTAAAAGTTATTTTTCCTTTTTCGTTTTTATTTTCTAGTACTTATCAATAAAGTTATATTGGATAATTAATTATTAATTAATAGTTAATAAATAGATATACTTAATAACTAATCAATAGATAGTCATTACTTAATTATTAATTAAATATTAATTTATTACTATTAAGTTTTTAATTTTATTAATAAAAATAATAAATAAATATTATGTTAATTATAATCTATTAATTAGTAAATAAAAAATAAATAGTAATTACTCAGTTTATAAGTAATATTAAATTATAATTATCAATATGTAATATATTAATCAATAATAATTAATAATTGATAATTAGTAATTAATCAGTACAAAAAGAATAATTACCAATATTAATAAATTATGTATATACTAATTATTTTTCTTAAAGAATAATTACCAATATTAGTAAATTATGTATATACTAATTATTTTTCTTAATACACTAACTAATTACATACAATCTAATAAATATGAGTGCCTTACTAACATAGTGATTATTTATAATTAATTACTAATTACTATTTTTAATTATTTAGCATATTAATTTATTATATATATAGTTTAATTACTAATGTACTTATTAATGATAATTTATCCATTATTATTATATTATTAATATATTAATTTTTATTTTCCAAATCATTATCAATTATTAATTATTTAATATATTAATTTAAATTTATTAATGTACTCAAAACAAATATAAATATAACCAAAAATGATTTTATTTTTTTATCATATTCAAATCAATATCTTAAAAGACCCAAAAAAATGTAATTTTAAAATAATTTTTAAAACACTTTTATTTTTATTTTTGTAGAGAAAATAAAATTATTTTAAAAACACGGCCCCTAGAGTATATTTCCAAAATGATGGAACCCAATAATTAGTGGGGTACGTTCCCAACCAATCAGATATCGCACATCCAAATTGTGGACAATAAAAAAACTCCAATAGTGAGACCCACCACTCTCTCTCCTCCCATCCCCATAGAACTTCCAGAACTTTCTCCTCTCCCTTCTCCGCCTATATATGCCAGTTGCCAATCAAGAAAGCTAAGTGGCACACCCATAACAAAATACCAATAAAATATTTTCTCCACAACCAAGCTCTAGAACTTTCCTTCCATTTTTCCGTTTCTTTATAACCAAAATCCCTTCTCTATATTTAACCCCTTTGGACACCAAGTGTGCATCTTTCGTGGATGTTTTTAATCTATCCACTTCTTAACGGCTTCAACGACTTTCCCCTATCAAAAAAATGGTCAAGGAGTCCCAAGAAGAAGATGAAGAATGAACATTAAAGACCCAACTTTTTTCCTTCTCCCTTTTTTCATTTATACATCTTTCCATTCTCCCTTTTTTCTCAAACTCTTTTATTTTCATTTTTCTCCTACTTCGTTTGTTTCATTTCCACAACTCCATCAATTTCTTCAATTAATCAATCAAGCCAGGCCTTTTCTCATCAATTTTTTTCGCCTCTGCATTGGACAGAGGAACAACCATCGCGGACCGACCAGAATTCGGTGATCAGTTAACCGGAACCGCAAACAAATTCAACTGTAGATTTCACCTTTCTTTGCTTCTAATTTCGGAGCGAAGAAGTACAAGTGAGCAGAAGAATCAAATTAATCTTGCGCAATCTTGGAGCCATGAATTATCTGTATCCAGTTAAGGGAGAGTATCCAGTGGCGAGTTCTTCTTCGTCTTCTTCGATAGGTGACGGCGGGGGCGATGGTGCGGCGGCGGCGATGATGGCTCTGCCGCAGCCAATGGAGGGCCTCCACGACGTGGGGCCACCGCCGTTCCTGACGAAGACGTACGACATGGTGGATGATCCGACGACCAATCGCATAGTGGCTTGGAGCAGAGATGGCGGTAGCTTTGTCGTTTGGGACCCTCATTCGTTTTCTGTGAATCTGCTTCCCAGATATTTTAAGCACAACAACTTTTCAAGTTTTGTTAGGCAGCTCAATACTTATGTAAGTTTGCTTCAATCTTTTGTTTTGCTTTCATTGATCGGAGAAATAAATGATTTTAACAAACAAAAAAAAAAAAAAAAAAAATTTTTTTTTTTAATCGTCGATAAGAATTTTGAATTTTGGCCGAAATATATATTTTTCCTTTTAATTTTGACTTCCTTTCTCTCTCTTTCTTTAAATCTTCATTCTTGGAATTGGAAGATACACAAGTAACGAATTTTAAGCAAAAAACCAGAAACTTGTGTAACGAATTTAAAAAAAAAAAAAAAAAAAAAAAAAAAAAACGAAAACTGACTGAAATGTTGCATTGGTGATCATGAATAATGAAATAAGGAAACTAGGATTTTTATTTTTATTTTCAATCAGAATGGAATTAAAGTTCTTTTAGTGAAAAAAGTAAATGTTTTATTTTTTTTTTCCCCTACTCCTGAGAGTACAAAAATAAATATTTTTTATTTAGGAATTTCTCCTGTGTTTTTTGTACTTTTGAGAAATCTCCTTTTTATTTTTGCTAATTTAATCCGGTTAGAACTTTTTATGAATTAATCTTACGTCTTGAATTCCTCTCTATTTTAAATCCCGTTTATACTCTCTAACGTCTTCTTATATTTTATTTATTTTCTTGGTTTTGCTGATGCAATCCAAGAATTTTTTTCCCGCGTTTTTATTTCCTACCTATTTCTTCTCGCTTTTCTTTTCTATCGTTGTTGTTTTTTTTTTTTTACGGGTCTTTTCTTACGTCGTTTGCAATATCATCTTATTTATTTTCTTTTCTATTCCTATGATTACGTATAAGATTTTTTTTTTTTTTTTTTGTTGCTACTGGAACGCTTTCTATATTTTGGTTCGTGTTTATTTTCATTTTTTTTAACCACTCTTGTTTTTTTTTTTTACCGATTAAAGCAAAATATTCAAAAAAAAAAAAGAAAAATATTTTTTTAATCTAAAAATTAGGTTTTGCCTGGAATATTCATAGGGTTATCTTTCTCAAAATAAAAAAAAATTAAAAAAAATTAAAAAAATCAGTATAGATTCTGGAATTCACTTTCCTCCAAGTTCGTGAACGAACAGAGCAATTTATTACCCGTGTGTTTCTAGAATGTTCATTGACGCATCTGCTTTTCTCTGCACCGTTTTTAATTTTTTATTTTATTTTATTTTATTTTTGAAATGTTTTCCCTCTTGTCTTTTCTTCCATATCTTTTTCTGGGCGTGTATCTCCCACTGTCAACTGTTTTGTTTCTACATTCTTTACTATTTTTTACAGTAACTTGTCTTTTCTGTCAACCTCACCTTTATAATTTCATCTTCAATGAAAACCCCTTGTTTCTGCATCTTCGTATGGTTGTCTTTATATGGACCCTCACCATCAATTGCAAAATCACGGTAAACGTCCCTTTCAAATACTTTATGGTCTTAACGCGGAAATCCAGAATATTTTTATTTGCTGGAAAATTACGTGACAAGAGAAAAAGATATCGGTCGACTTGTGGGATTACATCAAATTTATGTGACAGAAGAAAAAATTATCGATAGAACATAATTCTTCATTATATCAGAATCATACTAACTTTTGATCAGATATTATAATTTGACAAAATTTATTGAAAATCGGTTTGTAACTGTGTTGTTAGTAGTTGGTATGATAAATAGAATTAATTCTTATTTATTATTATTATTTTGTTTTCCTTTCTTTTGTTCTGTTGGAGAACTTAGTATGAATTATATTGGGTTTGGTTTGAAATGTGCAGGGCTTTAGGAAGATTGATCCAGACAGGTGGGAATTTGCCAATGAAGGGTTCGTAAGAGGCCAAAGGCATCTGCTGAGGAACGTCAGGAGAAGAAGAGGTCCTAGTTCTCAGCCACTAATTCCCTCTGACCAGCAACAAGCAGCTGCCTTAGGGCCTTGTGTTGAGCTAGGCCGGTTCGGTCCCGACGGAGAAATAGACCGGCTGAGGCGCGATAAGCAAGTCCTAATGATGGAACTAGTCAAGCTTAGACACCAGCAACAGAACACAAGAGCACATCTCCAAGCAATGGAGCAACGACTGCAAGGCACTGAAATGAAGCAGCAACAGATGATGGCTTTCTTGGCAAGAGCAATGCAGAACCCGGCTTTTCTCCAGCAATTGGTCCAGCAAAAGGAGAGGCGAAAAGCGCTCGAGGAAGCCATGACCAAGAAGAGAAGGAGACCAATTGACCAAGGGCCTAGTACTAGTAGTGGCTCTAGTGAGGTTGGACCAACAAGCGCCATAAAGATGGAGCCTCTTGATCATGTTGTTGGGGATTATGGATTTGAAGTGTCCGAGCTCGAAGCGCTTGCGCTCGAGATGCAAGGGTTCGGGAAGGCGAGGAAAGAGGAGGGAGATGAGGAAGAGCTTGAGCCTCTGGAGAGTGGGGATAGGGAACTTGATGAGGGGTTTTGGGAAGAACTGTTTAGTGAGGGTGTTAAGGGTAGTGATGATGAGGATGTTAATGTGTTGGCTGATCGTTTTGATTACTTGGGTTCTAGCCCAAGTTAAAAAAATAATTAAAAAAAAAAGAGATTAAAAATAATGCTAATAATAATTCTACTAGGCCAATGACTGTTTTTGATCTGGGTTAATTTCTTGTTGTTGACAGAAAGGACAATTTGGGGACTCAAAGAGCAGTGTAGTACTGGTGGAAATCATCTTGTTTCTGGTGTCTCTAACCCCTATTACTTGCTTTCTTCTGTCTTTCATAGTTTTCCTTCTTCATTTTGTACATCTTTTTCCCTCTCATTTTTCTCTATCTTGGTTAGGTGCGAAGCGTTGATTTGGACAGAAGGCTATGGTAGTCTAGTTTTTCCTTTTTTTTGTTTCTCTCTCTTAATGATGATTAATTAATCAATATCAAGGCTCATGTCTCGTGTATTTTGCTCTTTCTCTTGGTCCTTAAATGACTGTAGAAAGCTGTTGATCTGGACAAAGATGTACCTGCGAGGTCCGAGAACCACAACTGAAATTTTGTTTTTTGCATCCAAGTTGCTGTTGGTAGTTAACACCATATGTCGGTTTGATATTTTTTTTCTCTCGTCTTTATCTTCTTTGAATTGCCCTTTAATTTATTGCTTTTGTGATGCACCATAAAGATCAGAAATGGTCGGTGGCACATTTCAATTCTTCATGACGCCACATATATATTTACAATGTAGATTTTTTGATGCCATGGAAATCTGGTCTTCATCGGTCACTTTCACCAGATATGAAGTGTAGTGTGAACTGGTAGCGTATCATTCTTTAGAACCATCAAATCAAACGAATTTGTTTGGTAATTTACGTATGTATATACAACACAAGCAGACATACTATAGTGTAATATGTAAGACAAAGATTTGGAATTTTTACAGTTAAAACACTGTGGAACTGAGCTTGTTTATTGCAAGTTAGTTTGATGCTATATCTTTTGTGAGCTTCCTTGGCACTCTTAGGTGAGATTTGAGAATGAGATTGCAAGTTAACCAAATCTGGTGAAGCTACAAATAGATAATTCAAATTCAACTGGTTATAATGATTTTTTGGGAGAACAAAAATAGGAGAAAGAAATGATCTTTCTTTTGTTGTGTTTGGTATGAATTTCTCTACTAGTTCTTCTATTGGGAGATTTTTTGTTCCCTCTTTTACCCTTTACCAAACAAAGTGTATGTCCCAAAATTCTTTTACCAAGTTATTTACTTTTACCTCTTCTTTTATTTTTCCTTCCTTCCAAACAAGCTGTAAAAAGATTGAGGAGCATGAAAAGGCAATTAAGTATGGATCTATTTGACTACGTTCTATTTTACGGCATCGTTTAATTCACTGATTCGAATTTTTAATTTGAGTTGTGACTTTATGTGAGAGTTTTTAACTGTAGTAAAAAAAGTTAAAAGTGACTTTTTGTGAAAATTTTTAACTGTAATAAAATTGAAATTAAAAACTCAAATCGATAAAATAAACAAGACCTATATGGCATTGTTCACTTCGCGGATTCGAGTTTTCAATTCGAGTTGAGATGTGACATTTTCTGATAGCTTTTCACTATAGTAAAAAAAGTTAGATGTGACATTTTAAAAAAGTAAAACAAAAGAGAAATAGTAAGAGGAGTGGTCGTTAAATTCGTAAGATGTCTTCCTTTCAATCACTTATTTCGACCAAACCTCGTACATCAATATTTATTTTAGAACTTTCCCTCAAGCACTACTACAATTTAACCTAGAAAGTATTTGTGACGAAATTTGTCAACATAAATAAGTGAATATTTACATTGACATATCATCGCAAAGAAATTTTAAAATTTATATGATTGTGTTTCCAATTATGCAAAGTCCAAAACTTGCATGATGGTATTTCCAATTATAAAAAGTCCAATTTGAGAGATAGCTTCTAATTATCTCTTATTTAGGGGACGTTTATTTTCTATATTCGTCATTGATTTTAAATCATGATTCATGATTCTTTACAGTATTTTTTCTCATAAAAAATACACATAAAAAAAAATAATTTTAAATCATAATTTTAAATACATAAACTAAACGTTATCTTAACAAATCCACTGAAAAAAAGTTGATCTCAGCTACCCATCTTCCTTGATCCTTCCCAAACAATGATTCGGGGAAAGATATTTTCCACAAATCAAGACACGATCATGACCGCGAAACAATACAAAGAACCGATGCTTTTCCAAAACGAACGTACAGGATTAAAAGAACAAATTAAGATCGTGATCTCAGGGGGGTGACGCATTTATTCGGGTCATGTAAAGCAATGTAAACACATCTGTCCACTGAAAGTTTGCCACGTCAAATAAGTAGGTCTAAGTAACATGTGGGCCCATGGTCCACACGGTAATTGATGGGGCGAAGAGTAGGAGAGCACTTTCGGGAGAGGGAAAGGAAAGCTTAAATACTGCGGCAATTGCCTTGTGAAAGGCCTCATAAGGACGGGCGATTTCTCGACGGCCTCGTTCCCAGCCTAGAGAGAAACTAGAGAGAGAGAAGCTAGAGAGAAAAAGTCCCAGAGCTTCTTCAATCTCAGGTATTTTCTGGTACTTTTATTGTTTTTTCTTTTTTTTTTTCCTTCTTTGTTTGCTTTTCGCGTTTTTTATATATCTGTGATTTTGTTTCTGAAAATTTCGTCGTGAATAGTGAATTCAAACGAAGCTGAATGTGATGAAGATTGATTGTTTCAGTAGCGTAATGTTTGTTAGATCTAAGGTTTCAGTTCTCAGATTACAGGATTTGTTTTTGCTTTATGCTTATTAGCTTTTCTGTTCATTATTGTTATTGTTATTTATGTTTGTTTTAAGTAAAATTCAACATAATGCGGCTATATTTTATAATTAGTTGTTTATTTACCTGCATGTTTCAAAGCTTTTGAGCATTCAGAAGTTTGATCTGAGTTTCGTTTTCATTCTGTTTGTAACTCTTTTATTAATGCAAAAAAAAAAAAAAGCTTATGAATCAAATCTCAAATCGCTGCTTTTATTGACTGTCATTCCTCAAAGAGAAAAAAAAATTCGTTTTTTTTCGCTTGTTTTAGCAATTAAAATCTAAGTGTGCCTTTGAAATTCGTTTCAAAATGATTTTATTTTCTGTATAAAAATGAAAATGAAAACGTTTTCATTTTCATTTTGAAATCGTTTCTGAAAATGCGTTTGATAGTTTTATTCTGAGATTATTTTCAGTTTTAAAAAAACTGAAATTGTGTTTGGTGGTTTAATTTTTAAAAACATGTAATAATATTTAAAATAATAATATTTAAATAAATAATAATATTAAATAAACATTATATACATGAAGAAATGGGTTTCGGAAGAATAATTTTGGAAATCGGATGAGTAGGGGGGTGGTTAGGTGTAGCGAGGTCGAGGGAGATCAGAGAAGAGGGGGGTCGAGGGAGGGGAATGGGAAACTTAAAACGATGCTTAATCGTTTTCAATTTTGCTGAGTTTTTAGGAACAAGTAAAAAGTGTTTTCAGTTTTTATTTTTCAAGAAATGCGTGCCAAACGTATTTTTGAGTGCGTTTTCATTTTTTAATTTTTGAAAAACGTAAAAAATGTTTTTGAAAATAATTCCAAACAGACACATTATGTTAGCTTTCATGGGACTTAACAGAATAAAAATGGAAGACACCAGTGAGGAAAATTGAAAGAAACGAAAAATCGTTCTTATGGTGATCGTTAATTCGTTATAGATTGTTTCTTTTTTCTCTTCTATCAAATAAATAATGTGTTACAAATTCTTTTCGCCAATCTCATATCCCCTCTCCCCTCTCATCCTTTCCACTTTATCGATGGTTTTACCAAAAAGAAAAGTGAATGAATAAGAATGGAGATAATTGACTCTCTTTTTAATATTTACTCAGAGTAATTCTAACTATATTAGTTATTTTATATTTTTAGTTAAAATAATTAATGATTTAGTTTTTTTTTTTATTTTTTTACTCTAATTATTAGTTAAAGGGTTAGTTATTTTAGTTAAAGTATTATTTTTTTATTATTTATTCTTAATTTTGACATAAAGTAAAAGTTAAAAAAAAGTTATTTATATTTTAGACTCAAAAAAATATTAAAATAATTTATGTTTAGTTAAAATAGAGAGTATGGTTGAAGTGGCTCACTAAAAAATTACTAACTAAAATAGCTTTTGATTTTAATTATAATTTAGCTAAAAATTAAAGAGCTCTCTTGGAGATGCTCTTAGAAAGTTCCCTTGGAGATGATAATTTTTATATTTTGTCTAATATTTTGTTCCCTTGGAGATGCTTTTCTCCACTCTAATTATTAGCTAAAAAATTAGCCAAAATATAAATAACTTTTTAACTAACCATTTAGCTAATAGTTGGAGCAGAGAAAATGTTAACCATTTAGCTAATGGTTGGAGAAGATAAAATGCATTAGCCAAAATATTTTAAATCATTAACTATTTTAATTAAAAACATAATGACTAGTATGATTAGGACTCTTATTAAAAGGTGAGACAAGAAACTTTGTAGAGTTTACTAATATGAAGAATAAGAATTTAGAATCTTATTAATGTAATTATATACCCATTACATAATTTATTATTATCATTAACTCATAACATGTGAAACAAGTAAATTTAACATTGATTCTTTTTAATCAAGAATCAATACCAAGATGCAAGAATTGTTCTACTCTTTTCTTATATATATATATATATATATATATATATTGCTCAGTCAAATAGTACACAGTTATGAAGATTTGTTATATAATTGGTTTATATATATATATATACATATTTTGTTTGGGTCCACTAAATTACAGTTGCCAACTCTGTAAATAAAAACACGATTACACATACTTTTAGAGTCACGGTTTAATGGATGATTGATAAAGGGCGAGTGGTGATGGTCACTAACAAATAGTGAACTCTTCTTTCCTACGAGTCAGATTAATTTTCTTGTTTAAAAAAAGTACATATATATATATATATAAGAATTAACTTCTGTATTTAATTTGATGTCTCATTTTGTACTTTTGACCGCTGTTTTCGTCAACCGTGTGCACACACTTGGGAAAACGTTGAGAATGCGTGTACTTGATGGAAATATAATTAGAACTATTCATGAATTGGGTTGACGTAGAATAAGGCTTTTTCTTCTCCCGTTTAAAAGGGTATAAATTGTACATATTTAGTTCTAATAATATTAAATCAATTTCATAACACAATGATGTTTGAATTGAATTGGAGTGGTACGAGATGAATTGGGTAGTCGATTTAAACATTTAAATAATCAAAGACTCAAAATTTAATCCAACATTCAAAGTTCATTATCAAATAGAAATAATAACTCCAACATTCAAATATATAGAAATTCAAAGCTCAATCCAACATCAAACATTAAGCAAAGTAGCTCATCCAATATCAAACATAAAGCAAACATAAATTAGTCTACACTCATATATTAGTCTTAACATAAAGCAAACATAGAGGCTTAATTCAAACATGAAGAAACTAGAGAGTAGAAATAAGTTGTCTACCTAGGATTAGATATTAGAATAGGCAAGTTAGAGCACGAGTTGGGTTGAGGTGTGCGGGCCATTATAAGCCTAACCCCCACCCAGTCCCAAAATTTCAGGGCAGACATTGAATGGGCCGAAAAAAAAATTTAATACTAAAAATCACATTTTTCGAATTAGGTTGGGTGGAGTGAGTTGGACATGCAGATTTTTAC